TCCCCTCCCTCCCTCCCTCCCTCTTCGCACAGTAGCCTAAGCACATAAAAAATACATCAAACACAGCCGTCCGCCCAAGGCCTCGTCACATGCAAAATCATCTCTCTCTCCATCTCTTTCTCTAACAAAAATGAAAAAGAAAACCCAAGTTACAAAACAACTACAGAGGACACTGATGGAAAGAAAGATAGTCTGAACTCAGAGGACTGAGGGTCGTCTGCGGAGCCTCCTGAGGGAAGAGATTATTGTAATGTTAACACTAACCACCCTTTCTCCTTTGACACACACACACACACACACACAGAAAGAGTTAAAAAGGACCATGACTTACCTTGTGCACAAAAAGACCTTGTTTGAATTGTGCATGGCCTGCAGCACCATGACCCACTTCCCTCAGTTCAGCTCCACATCTGTTCCAGCACTGGTGTCGGCTGCAACAGCGGCCGAAGGCACCAGCAGTGCCCGTAGGCTCCTCTGTCAGATTCTTGGTGCTGAGATGCACAGAGACTGTAAAGAGAAGCCTGCTGGACTTTGAGCTCACAGCCAGCACTCTTAAAAATCAGCCAAATTAACCAAGACGTGCTAAATTGAACTGCTATTCCAACACGGTGGCTGCTTTGCACACTGATTATACACTTTTATTTTAGGCACAGATGTGAGCAGACATACTTGTACAGTCCATACGTCACAACACAAGCGCACAAACCCTTGGGTGCTACAGCTCATGTTTCTTTTCAATTATTCCACCCCCTGCCCTCTCTCCTCCTCATAATCTGAATAAAATCAGATCCATGTCCTCTAGATATTTAGAAGCTGGGCCTCGATGCCAAAACTTGTAACCTTCCTCCTCTTTCAAGTGTGGAGTGAATTGGGAGTTCAGGGGGTGGGGTGTGGGCTGGCTTTACTGCGTTGACCTTGTAATTCCCTCTCTGGAGTTAAACAAAGTTGTGAGAAGCGAGTATGGTGTTGATGCAGAGAAAGAGAAGAAGGATTACAAAGCAGAATCCCACCAAGGCTGAATTACTCCCCAACTTGCAAAGACATTATTCCTATTAAATTCTAATTAGAATTAATTTCTCAACCCTGCAAACAGACCCTTAGGATTTGGAGTCGTCTTTATCTCGATTAATTGCATTGTAATGGCTCAAAAGTAATGACCGATGCCGCTCCACAACAAAATCCATCTAATTATTCCATAGCTCAAAGGGCCTCTTGGCCCTTAAGATCTCACAGAAATTCAGGCACATTCTTGAGAATTTTCACTCTCAGACAAACAAAAACATCACCCTCTTTGAAAAAGACAAAATATCATCATTACCTTAACACCAGGATTAAGTTGACGGCCTGCAGGTATAACAGCTCACTATAGGCGGGGCCCACCACGGGGTTCATTCCAGATCCTCCTGGCATTGGCCCCTAATGATGTGTAATGGGGCCTCCTGCGTCCATCCCTAACCCCAGGATCTTCTCCTAATCACCGTGGCTACTAATGAGATGGAGAGACATGCAAGGGCTCGTTAAATGATCCTCCATTTTAAGCTGGCCTAATATTAGCCTCTTACCAAATCATTAGTCTCTAAACGGCAATTTGTGCTTCAAACCAGGAGGAAAAAGTGAAATAAAGAGTCAAAGGAATCTCTGAGTGTGGATCTCTTTAGCAAGGGACAGATGAAGTGGAGCTGTTGAACATGCATGAGGTGGATGTGTTTAGGAGGATTTAAGTAAAGGCTTTCCCATCCTGTTAAACTAAACTTTCACAATCAGGATCGCAAAAAAGCTGAGATAGGAATTTTTTTGTGTGATCTCAATATGCCTTAAACAGAAACCAACTTGTACAAAATTCCTGTCCTATAATAAGGAATTTGATTTTTAGGAAAAGAAAATTAATGCATCAAATGCTGTAAATACCGATGAGACGTTGGACAGTGCATCCAACTGTCCACTGACGTACACTCTAAGCCGTCTCTCCATATCAAGTGCCTCGTTTGTTGTGCTCAATGTAAAGCTACTGTAGTACTGCTCTGCTTGTCTGAAGCCCCTGCCAAGATACTTAAGGTCTTGTACACTAAAGACATTTGAAAATGGTAAGAATTCAAGTTTTATTGACATTTTTGTTGTCATTTAGACAAAACCAACTGTGCTCATATGCTGCTTATATAACATTTAAGAGGGAGCCTGGCTGTGATGCAGCACAATGCAGAATCCCAAGACACATGTGGGAAATAACAGTAAGTGCACATCATACTGTACCTGTTGCATTGCTGCTTACTGTACAAACACTGTTACCTGGCAACATTCAGCCTAAGCAGGGAATACAGAAGCAAGCAGAGCAATGTCTTAAAATTTTCCTTTATTTACAATGTAAAACAAACATTTGAAATCATCAGTCCAAGTCCCAAAGCATTACAAAGCCAAGTCATTCCTATTTACATGATAAAACCTATTTAAAAGGGATCTTAGTGGCGTGGTCCACACTGAGTCATGTAAGACAGAAGCAGGACTCAGCCCACCAAGTGAAACATCAAAAGATGCTTCAGTGGTGCCATTTTAAGGCAACATCAACATGCGCCCATCGACATTTGTGTGCCATAAAAGACGCAGATGCAACGGCTAACCGGACACCTCAGCCAGTGATGAAGGGCGCTGTTGACCCCTTTTGCCTGGTGACCTACTGGATGAGGCTGCTATGTTCTGGCCCTTATTGGTTTGCTGATCAGTCCCTTAGTGTGTTGTGACCTCAGTGGTCCAGGAAGCTGAAGATGCTCCTCTGGGGGCCTTTAATCTGTCCAGTAGGCTTGTTCTCCCTGCAGACCCTCTTGGCTGCTGGGTTGACAGCTTCCACCTGCCCCCTCTTCTTCATCATCATCTGAGGATCAAACACATCAGAAGTTCACAACCCCGAGTTGCAGAAAACACAATCTGGCAAAGCAGATAAAATAACTCAGTGCAAGCTGTTAACACTACTGTTCAACTAACAGCGGTATAACTTACTGTATTACATAAATAAAATGTAGATTTATCAAATTTTACTGGCAGCTCTTTGAGGAAAGATGTTTGAATAAGCACGCTTGTTTGTTGCCATTTAAATCTCCTGTGAGCAGTGTGGGCTTTGACTCCACCTAGTGTCACACATCTAGAATACATCAAAGATGTCAAACTGACCCATAGAAAGGTGGCTGGCTGAAACAAAACACTGTTTTTGAGGTTAGCGGTGGGGATCAGCTCCACTCCACTTATCAACCAGTGATCACGTTCACCTGGATGTGAAAGGATGCTCATCATAGACTGTGATGGACACTCAATCGGTGACCGTTTGGCTACGAGGTGGTATCTTTGGGACAGACCTTGCACATGGGACCTTTAGTACATCTCAGAAGTTTTTTGCAGAGAGTCACATGACATACGTCACGACTGAGCCGATGGTTCTCACGCTTCACTTGTATAGTCAATATCTGTGCTGCAACAATGGCCCCTCACGCCAGCCACGATTCTTTTCAAAAGGTAAAGTGCAGGTTAATTTGTTTTATTTTTACTTTATACTGTATTTTGTATCACTGTAATCATTTTTATATGGATAAGTGGGTGTGGAACAAATCATCCGAGTTGCCATTATTTCTTATGGGGAAATTCGCTTTGATATACGAGTGCTTTGGATTACGAGCACGTTGCTGGAACCAATTATACTCGCAATCCAAGGTTTCACTGTATATTATTCATCACCTGATTTTGGGGAGCAGCTGATATCGAGTTGTCCTTCTCAGGAGAGAGCGTTTGAAACAAAAACCCCCGGCTGGTTCTAGGCGCCAGAGGGTTCCCCTCAGAGATCGACGCCAGCTTCTGGAGGACGGCGCGAGGCTGATTCAGTAGTGATCCTCTCCTCACCTGGAAGAAATCAAAACCAAAAAATCTTAGATGGCCCTTGTACAGATCACAGAGGATATATCATGAACTTTGTTGGATAAATATTTAAGGCCAATCACCAACACACAACCACTCAAACTATTCTACAATATTTTGAACGAGGCAGAACATTTATTCTCTCGTGCACCACCTAGTGTCTTGTCCTTTGAAAACTTTTAGCTATTAGCAACACAGCACCCTGAGTAGAAATTCTTAACGATAAACGTGCTGAAAAAGCCATCCTGCTGACCCTAGTAAATACATCTTCACATTTGGCTAAGAACCATGACATATCTTCTCAGAATAAAAGCATCAAATGACAAGCAAAGAAATTGTTGTTTTTAAATCAAGTCAGATTTTTGTTTTCCAGAATTTAAAGTCAGGAAAGCAAATCAAATTCCCAGTGGTGTACCTGTAAATGCTGTGAGGGTCTCTGGAAGAGATTCAAAGCTGATGAGGTCTTCTCTGGCTGAGGTGCGACAGGGGGCTCTGGTTTGAAAACGGTGAGAGTGTTAGAGCAGTGGAACAATCCGAGTGAAGCTGCTGCAGTAACCCAGTCTCTCAGAGTGGTAAAAATGTCTGCACAGATTCAAATTAGTCCCTGTTTAACAATCATACTGGAACAAGGTATGACTGTTAAACAGGGACTTCAGTCTGATGCAGGCATGAAATGCTAAGACTCAGAGATTTTTTTATTGTCAATTCACTATATGGTAAATGGACTGTATTTATATAGCACATTTTCACAGTGTGTTGCACTGGCCAAAGCACTTTACAAGCAGATCATACACCATTCACACACACATTCACACACCGATGACGACACATCACCGATTCCACACAACGGCGCTAGTCAAGCCACCGGGAGCAATTTGGGGTTCAGTGTCTTGCTCAGGGACACTTAGGCATGCGGGGAGACCGGGAGTCGAACCACCAACTTGCTGGTCAGAAGACGACTGTCCTACCTCGTGAGCCACAGCCACCCCGATATATATTTATGTGGCGGACATAAAGAAAAATCCAATATACCATTTCTCTCTCACCTAGTATCGAGTGCTATAGCATTTAAGAAACTAAAATAGAATAAAAATGGAATAAAATAGAATAAGAAGACTAGATTAGCGTAATTAGGTTAAATGGTACAACCTAATAGGCTACGACTTAAAACCATGTACAATCAGTGACAGTAGTGCAAACAATAACAAGAAGATCCTCAATCACCCACGTGAATGCACTTTGTAACGTTTTGAAAGGTGCCTCAGTTTACAGGAACAGAAGCACAAACAGCTAAACTCGATTCCTTTATATGAGAGTTATGCCCTGTAGCACAGCAAACTGTTTAGATCTGAGGAGATGAAATTAATGAAATCAAAACTGACTCATGTCTTGGAGGAACAACAATGCTACTGCTAGGAAGAAACACTCCGATGTAACTTGTCATTTAACTTCAGTGTTGGCAGCAGTCTGGTTGTCCTGTTCAGTGTCTGGGGTGGACTGTGTGCGCGTGGCTCTGCTGTATCTCCACAGCACTGTAGCACATCAGGTGACATTACAGACACTTATCAACAGACAGCGTTAAGCAGATCGGAAAGCAAATATCTCTGTAGCCTCTAAGATGAGACTGTTTCTCTCTGCTGAAAATGTGGAAAGTGTTAACCACATGTAATACCATGTTCACCGTACTTAATACTGTACGTTTTCCTGTCTACAGCTTTATCACATTTCAGCTGCTAGGAGTGTAACTGGAACAAAAGAATAAGACAGTTGTGTCACTAGTTTGTGTGTGTCGTTTGTCCTCTCTCTAACCTTCAGGTAGTTCCTGGGTACAGATTTGCACACAAAAGGACCTTTGCTGTCAGTGCTCCTAAACTTTAGAGTAATTATTAATCTAACTATAACTGAACTAAAACATGTGTGGGATTCTTCTTGTGAGGTCTCACATCAGACCAACCTTTTCTCTGCAGAGTCTTGGCAGTCAGTTTCTTGGCCAGCTTCATAAACTGACTGTCCTCCTCTCCGATCTTCTCATCGTCTACATCCAAATCCTCCCCTTTCTTGGCTTTTTGTTCAGACTGGGAGAAAAGACACCGAACAATGAAGCACCCTGTGCACTCACATGGCCTGGCTTTACTCTGCTTAATGTTTACAGGGCGAAATGTCTGTGAAACCTGCACTGAATTTACAAACATTTTCTGAACTCAACACAGCAAATGTATGATTTTAAATGACTAGTTCCTTTTTTTTTTAATATAAGATAATAATAACCACCTTTATTTAGCCAAGTATGTTACACACAATTTGTTTCCAGTACAGAACTGAGGCAGCCATCTGCGGCATCAACTCAACCGATGGCTCTAACCATCAGGGGCAATGGGGGGTTCCGTGTCTTGCCCAAGGACACTTGGACCTGTGTTGACTGCTCTACCCACTGACCCACAGTCGTCCTTACCACTATCTGCAATTGGGACTTCTGAACACAAAGTACAAACTGTCTGACCTACCTGTTCTCTGAGCCACTGCTCCCTCTCCAGCCTCTCTTTCCTCCTCTGGACCTCACTCTGGTCCATGTCTTCATCTTCCTCCTCTTCTTCGCCCTCTGCCCCCATCCTGTCCATGTCGAAAGCATCATCTGCAGGAAAGATTCAGAAGGAAACTCTTGAAAAACACCAAAAGGCGTTTATAGAATCTAAATTGAAAATCGGAGAGACTCAAAGTTCAAACATCCACCTCACAGACATTTTTTTCCACACTTATACATAATTTTTTATACCAGTTCCACATAATTTTTAAGCTTATAGCCTTAATTTGCAGCATTGTTCTTAATTCTTCTATCTCCACTCCACTTGTATCTGTGGACAAGTGGCAGCTGTTGAATACAACTGTCCTTACAGGTTAAATAAAGTTCTACTGAATTGAACTGAATGTAGGAAAATGCACATAAAACTGAATAAATACACATGAATCTCAGGTGCTCTTGACTCAGCAGTAACATACTCGATCACCATTTGGGTTATATCTTTTAATAAGTAGCATATGGTATTTACTCTGTCAAACCCACCTGTGCTTTTCCAGCGGAAGCGACGAGCTCGTCCTGGACCATCAGAGTGCAGGTCACCATCAAGGAGGTAGCGCTCTTGGTAAAGCCTCAGACGGCGCTTGTCGTCATCCTGTATCTGCTTCCTTTAAAAAAATAAAAACTTACTCTTAGTGGTTTCCTCTGCACTTGCATCATATTCAAAAACACAAGAAATGGCATTTAATAAACTGATTGAGGTGGTGAACTCCATAATTACAACTGTTTGGAAATAAGAAGATAAACATGGTGTAAAAAGCAGCTGTTACTCACATGTGGATCTTGTTGACCTGGTCCTGCAGCTCTTCGTCAGAGGGAAGCTCTTCAAGAAGCTCCTCTTCCTCGTATTCACTCCCTCCATCACCTTCTTCATCATCGCTGCCCACATCGCTGCCTGACAGCGCAGCCTCCGATTCCAGGTAGTCAGCCAAGCGCCTGTGAACAGGATGTGAGAACCAAGTAAAACCTTTGTTACAAGGAGGATTTGTTCTGACAACTCATTTAAAATGTACAACGTTACATGAAGGGTACAACACAAATGAAGTCTGATGTGATTTTTCACTTACATTTTCTTATTTTTCTTGACTAGATGTGATGCAAACAAACCCTGCATCTCCTCCTCTTCTATATCATCTGCCTCCTCATCCTCCTCCTCACTTTCCCCTCCACCATCCTCATCGCTCTCCTCCTGTAAGGCCACAGCTCACTTGTCATTTGTATCACAAAGACATACGTCCACTGTGTTACATATAGAGTGGAATCGTACCTAAACAATAACAGACTCACTGAGGCATCTTACCTGCTCACTATGACTTTCCACATCTGACAGAAGCCGAAACCCGCAATCCTCTTCCTCCACCTGCTCCTCTTCCTCTGATTTCTTTTTACTTTGGAGAGAAAGAAACCAGTGTTAGACTCTTGCATCCAATTCAAATTCCATTAATATTTTTATACTGTAAGGTAGTGTTAAGATGATGAGTAAAAAGATGGAAATAGTGACGTGGTTTAGTTTGGTATTAAAGCAAAACAGCCTTACTTAATAACATTTCAGATGACGTTTAGTTTAGATCAAGTCTGTGTATTGTACCTGTTTGGTGCTGGTGAAGCTGTGTGAGTAGAATCTGAAATGAATGAAACCATAACATCAAACATCTTAACAGGGAAAGGTTTAAAAAAACAACACAAACAAAAGAAAGAAAATGTGAATCCACTAAAACCACAGAGTGTCAAGGACAGAGAAAACATTCCTGACCAAGAAGTATAAATACGTCACAGGACAGACTCAGGTTCTTCACAGTTCTTCAGGCTCTTATTAAGGAATTGTCTGTTTAATTTCTCATTACAATAATAAACTGTCTGCTTTTAATAAGGTCACCAAAGTTTACCTGCAGAACAGACTGTACACTGTAGATGATTTCAATCAAGAAGTACTTTTAGAATAAATACACAGCACAGCAAACACTGATAAAAATAAAGAGGGGACATCACATTCTCTTACCCAGACTAGGGAATTTGCCTGAACACAGCCCCAGGAGCTGATCCATAGTATTTTCAGATTCTTCATCTTGTCTTCCATCTTTATTCTTCTCCATTTCCATCAGCTCCTCTCCTGCCTGTGTTGGTGGAAATGCTCCAGAGCACAGACGAAGCAGCTCATCCTCCTGCATGGGTCCAAGGCCTCCGCTTGTACCGGAGCCACTCTCTACTGTCCCAAAAACACCTGAGCACAACCCTAGCAGCTCCCCCATGTTGCCATCCATTGCATTTTCATCCAGACTGTCCAGGATCAACTGTCTTTTGTGGGAGCCAGGCACGCCGGGACGAGGCCCCACGTTCAGGAAGCCATCTGCGTCAAGTAACTGGGAATGGGCATCATCTTCCAGGGAGAAGCGGCATTGGGAGTCACCTCCCAGGCCAGGGCCAGAAGCTGCTTCAGTCAGGGGTCCTGAATCTGCACCTGGGGAAGGAGGTGCATATAGGTCTTGGGAGTCTTCAACAGGAAGAGAGAGAGAGGGCTCCGACAGCTTCCCTGAACTCTGATGGGGGGAAAAAAGATGAAAGAAAAATTAAAGTGCTTTATTCTGGGATCATTGAATAAATTATGACACCACAACTGTTGACGTGTAGATGATTTCAATCAAGAAGTACTTTTAGAATAAATACACAGCACAGCAAACACTGATAAAAATAAAGAGGGGACATCACATTCTCTTACCCAGACTAGGGAATTTGCCTGAACACAGCCCCAGGAGCTGATCCATAGTATTTTCAGATTCTTCATCTTGTCTTCCATCTTTATTCTTCTCCATTTCCATCAGCTCCTCTCCTGCCTGTGTTGGTGGAAATGCTCCAGAGCACAGACGAAGCAGCTCATCCTCCTGCATGGGTCCAAGGCCTCCGCTTGTACCGGAGCCACTCTCTACTGTCCCAAAAACACCTGAGCACAACCCTAGCAGCTCCCCCATGTTGCCATCCATTGCATTTTCATCCAGACTGTCCAGGATCAACTGTCTTTTGTGGGAGCCAGGCACGCCGGGACGAGGCCCCACGTTCAGGAAGCCATCTGCGTCAAGTAACTGGGAATGGGCATCATCTTCCAGGGAGAAGCGGCATTGGGAGTCACCTCCCAGGCCAGGGCCAGAAGCTGCTTCAGTCAGGGGTCCTGAATCTGCACCTGGGGAAGGAGGTGCATATAGGTCTTGGGAGTCTTCAACAGGAAGAGAGAGAGAGGGCTCCGACAGCTTCCCTGAACTCTGATGGGGGAAAAAAGATGAAAGAAAAATTCAAGTGCTTTATTCTGGGATCACTGAATGAATTATGACACCACAACTTGACAATATTAAGCTTGGCAGAACTGACCATATTCATTTAATCCTAAGTAGGTTTTGGAGGATTCACACCCCTGATAATGTAAATTTAACACCAACTGGTAAAACACACTGGAAGGGTCTTACGGATTCAGTGTGGATTGACTCATTTGATTCAATGGAATTTTATCTATCTGTAGTGTGAGACTGCCACTCAACGCACATAGAAAATGCTTCCAAAAATTCTTCCAGTGTGTTTTACCAGTATGTATTAAACAAACCTGCAATTTTACCTTCGAGGCAGAGCCAAGAAAACTGGGCCTGAAGAGGCAGGGAGAAGGGGAGCGGAAAACCGACGAGCTTGGAACACCTCTCCCTGAGGAGCGCTGGTGATTGACAGGTTGGTAGGAGGTGATCATTGATCCTGGAAGTTCAAAACTACTGTTGTGGCTACTGTCCTTCACCAGGGACAGGGAGTCATCCTCTTCTGCAAATCAGAGGGATGAGAGCAGGTAAAAAGGACGGAAGTGTTTCACAATAAATGTTCTACTGTTAAGTAGGGCTTTTTTCAAATGCAGTGAAAAGAAATGTGGGGAAAAAAAAACATTACCGTTACTATATTTAAGACATTTTGTCTTGATGACTTTACATCAATCTATTGTGAATGTAAAATGTATAGACAAATGCAGGTCCTTCATCCTACTCACCCAACTTATTGCTGCCATCCTGTCCAGAAGGACCAGACCTTTTTACACCATCACTACAAAGGAAAAGCATACATGTCAAGCTTTACAACCCACAACAAACACAAATATGTTATTATAAATGTGATAAAAGAATAACTTCAGACAAGCAACACACCAAAGCTGAGCTACTAAGTCTCTCTGACAAGCTGTTCTTACTAAATAGGATCCCCAAGGAGTTGACTGTGGGTGAAGCGACAAAGACTTCACACACACAAGTTTGTGTACAGATGTTGAACAAGCATAACACAACTACTGGCAGATTTTGTTGGACACATGACTAAGAAACAATGTGGTCCTTGACTTGACACACTCTGCTCAGCTGTGTGCGAAGAGCACGGCCCCGTCCCCGGGGTTCAGAGTATGGAGACCGCCAGATTAGAGCTTGTTACATTCCCACAGTGGAAAAGCACTAAAAGACACACAACCAGAAAACACACACACACTAACCCAGTACGAGAGCAGGAGTTGCCAGCGAACAGCAGGAGTGTGCCATCTGTGTTAATGAGATCAGGCGTTGATGAGGGTCTGTTCAGTGTCACTGGAGAAGGGCTCCTGATACTCTGCACTACACTGCCTTCCTCCTCGTCTTCTGCTTCAACTTCATCTTCTCCATCATCTCCTCCCAGTAAGTTATCTACACCCTGATAGAGAGAACAGGAATGATGAATAAAGAAAAGGGGACACAAGCACAACTGTGTCTACAGTAATTTGATTGCTAAAAGCAATGAGACACAAAACACATCCTCTTACCTCTTCATCCTCTGATTCATCTGTCATCTCCTCCTCTTCCTCCTCCTCCTCACCCCAGTCTTCATTGTCAAGGTGATTCAGCTCAGCCTTGCGTGCCCTTTCCACCTGTCTCCGCTGGGCCATGGCCAACTGTAGACGCTGCTTCAGCGTCAGCAGCTTCTCCCCTACACAAAGGCCCAGAGGATGTGTCATGTCAAAGAGCCAGGACAGGGAATAATACATCTCAATGTCCCACTCAAAAACCAATACTTCTGTTGTGTGTTAACGGTTTTAAAGGGTTCAACAGTCTCCTGTCTCCCCTTAAAACTGCTTGTTATTTGAGGTAAATATTAGAACTATTTTAAAGTATCCTGTACCGGGCTTGGTGGGCGCTGGCTTATCTGCTCCCTCTTTAACAGTGACAGTAAGCGACTCAGCGTGCAACTCTTCCTTGCCAGATGGGGTGCTGTCTTTACGGATGATGCTGAGATGCATTTTATGCTCTCCTTGGGGCTGCACGGGTACCTGGACATGCCGAAGGTAACGCACCTTCAGGGCCTCAACACCTGATTGAAAAAGAAGGTAAACAAGGGTTTAATCCGACTTATGACATGTTTTTTCCCTTAAATCTTGAAATCCTAAGAGAATGACATCTCACCAGGGTTAAGCTGCGGAGGCTCAAGATGAACAAACGCACCGTCATCTGCACACAATTTAGCAACAGGTGGGGGTTCCAGGCCAAGCTCCTTTAATCTGGCCAATTTGTCCTTGTTTGGTTTGGTGGGCTGCTGCGCTGAGGGCTCTGCTGCAGCTGGGTCAGTGCCAACACACCGAGCAGCTAAAGGCTCAGCCAAAGCACCAGGTAAAGGGTCCTTTTGCAGTGTTTCAGAGTCAGACATTACTGTAGTTTTGCTTTGTTCTATAGGGACAGACATGTCTTCTTCAGAGTCAGAAGCTTGTCTCATTTCTCCATCTGCTGTGACTGACCCCTGCAGACTCTCAGAGAGGTAAAGCATAGGGCCAGATTCCTGGTCAGGATCTAGGGCCACAGCTGCTTCTTGGTCCTGGTTGAGGCTCTCCTGCTGTGGAGATGAGGTGGCAGCAGGCTGAGGTAAGGGTTGGATCTGAGCAGACGAGCGCTCCAGAGAGGGACAAGACTCCTGTTGGGGCTCACTGAATGGGTTTATAGGAGGAGCTGGTGACGTCTCCAACATCATGGCTGAATACTTTGTAGATCTAAAGCAAAGAAGATTTTCATTAATGTGTGCAGGGAAATATAGCTGCCTTATAAACTTTGGATCAATTCTGATTGTGTGTGTGTGTGTGTGTATTGCAGAGAAAGTCTATAATTGATCAAATGAGAATCACGTGAAATTAAAAATGCTGACAAACTTGGTCACAAGTCTATCCTAAAATAAAGCTTATGCCGCTGATTGCTGAACTGAAATGTTAAATGTTTGCATTTACTTCAATAATGCCATGGCAGGACCCTCTGGCCTGGCTCTCTTCTTAAAGAACTGGTCAATGGTCTTTGGCTCAGGGATGTGGTAGGGCAAGCCTAGAGCAGACTCTACAAAGATAGAAGAATGTGTCAAAGATGCTGGTTCACCTGCCTGGAAGACATGAAACACCTCTAATAATCAAACCACACAGTTAAAATCCAAGTCATCTGATGCTTAACTGGCAAACCTAAATATAAAGTAGTTAAAGAAGAGCTAACACATTGGCAGAATCAAACAAAACAGAAGTGCTTGCTGTAAACTGACCTCTGATCAGTCTCTGAGACTCGCTGTGGAGTTGTTTCATTGCCTCTTTGCTTGCACGTGCAGCTTTCCTCTCCTGAGAACATCACACATGTTGAACATGAAAACATGTTTTGTTACTGGGCATTCATTGTACAGCATTTAGATTAACTTCAAGCAGTGTGGCTGTGCGTACCGTGCGCTGGGGTTTCACTGGGGCCTCTTCATCTTCCTCCTCTTCGTCATTCAGCAGTGGACCCTGCACCAACATTTAACACCGACTGATCACACAAAAAGTCTGTCTAAACAGAGCCAACAATGTGCCACACTTTTCACCACATGACTTTAATACGTTTTAAAGTAATACGAGCTCCAATCAGGTAAGAGCAGTGATACCGTCAAAAAACAAAGGTTTGAATTGAATCCATGCTCAAGTCTTTCATGTACTGTGTATATACAGGTCTGTGTCGCCCAGCAGACATCCACTGTCATTCAGGGCCCGAGGGAGAGGTATGTCCTGGGTACACATTGCTCTTTAAATATACAATATAACCCACATCTCAGGCACTTAACTATTCTGTAACAGATTCATTTCTGCCTCTGCTTTGTTAATAACATAATTTACAAGGTTCCCCCACATGGTTATTTTCAAAATTTGGTACTTTACAGTGTTAATTCTGCTGTATTCATTCAGTTTGTTGATTTGAATGTGATCTCACATATTACTATTTAGCTGCCTAAATAAAAATTCATCTTAATGCATAAGGTAGAATTTGAAACAATTACCTAAAACATAGAGAACATTGTGACATGTACAGTAATATGCTTCTTTTAAAGCTTACCCATGTTTTTTGAATGTGTCATGAAAGATGACTGAATTATTTTTCACAATACAGTAGGAACTTTGTGGCACTAAACACCATGTAGAAAGAATTCAGTGGTAAAAGAAACAAAAATACAACTGAGACAAAAAGGCGAAGCTGCACTTTACCTCTGTAATTTCAGAGAATCTCTCCTTCTTCTTCAGTTTTTCCATCGCCTTGCTATGCTTCTCCTTCTTCTCCCGATGCCTGTGGCTCTTCTCCCTCTTCTTCCATTCCTTCAGCAATTTTGCTTCCTTCTTCATCACCTCCTGTTGGTCCTCCATTTCTCCACCTTTCTCTTGCTCAGGTTCACCGTCTTCGCTGTCAGTGGGAGCCCGGCTTATTCTCTTGCTCTTCTGCCTGCCCTTTTCTCTCCTGTCATGTCTCTCTTCTACCTCTCCATTCTCCATCTCCTCTTCAATGGAAGCAGGTAAGACCTGCACTTCAGCCCTATGTACACTGTTCCCTGCCGCTGCCTCCTCTTCCTCACTATCGCTGTCTCTAATGGCATTTCGATGAGGCTTTCTGTGAACTGTGATGTCTTCATCTTCATCAGAATCTGAAAGCACAACAACAATTTAGAAAACAGTGAATAGCATGATGGCCATCTCAAATCATTTAATACTTTTATGTGATGCAGCATAATGCTAAGCAAGCTGTGGTAAACAAAAAATTCATCTAATCTGAAACTGGATTATCGTTGCAGTGGTTCATCTTGGGTATTGCATTTTTATGCAGTTTTGTTCACTCCACTATTATTTAATTATTGCTATACCCCCAATCACTCTGCACTCTTACTTTTGTTTTTAAGGTGCACCTTTAATAAATGTGAGACTTCAAAACAATTTCTGTCTTGAAGTGTTATCTTTAATTGGTTAAGTACACACACTAAAGCACTTTGTTTTCTTGATCTAGCACAGGATGATTTCTCTTTCGTTGAGTAATGCGAATCATGAGAGGTCATTCAATCAGTAATTTTGACTGCTGCACTTATTCTAAGCCTTGTGGTTAGGTATCTACTAGATGCCTCAACTGTAATGTAAATGGATCCCCGTTCTACACTGCCAAAGTGGCTCTGTCCTGTCTCAGGCTGAATCATTATCTATTGTCGTGTCTCTTCACCTGGAAGCTCTTCTCTATTGTTGTTTTTCTCTGTAGCCACCTCCTCTGCTGGAGAGCCCATCCCGCTGTCTGAATCACTCTCTGTTGCTGTTTGAGCTACACCTGGGAGCCCATCTGCCTAGGAACAAAAAGAAAAAAAAAAAAAACTGAACTCACCAAATACAAAGTATTTTTTTCATTTGCATGCAAATGCATGAAGTTCATTTAATATGTAGGCACTGCAGTGTGCTCTGATATCTATTTAGTGGGAAAAACCATACAGCTCCACAGTCAGTGTTGTTTTACACATTTCAAACATCAGACAAAATACCTAAGACAAATATTAATGTTAGGTGTTCACATGTACTGTATGTTCTGTCACCATACCTTATGGGAACCCAAAAGCACTAAGTAGCAATTTCATGTCAAAAGCAGCCAACTACCACCATTATCCGTTCAACTCTGCATAGCTTTTCTAAAGATGCCAACAGCATGTGTCTGTATTTGCCGAAAAAGCACCCAGAGAGATCGATCGGGTGGCAATAAGCAGCCATATAACTGTAACACTACATTAGCGACACCTTGCAATAAACATATCAATGGTTATCATATCAAAAGGTTAGTAAGCAACATGGCTTCCTTTCAACAGTTGTAGTTAAACGAGATAAAAAACCCATATACACAAGTTACAGATTTCCGCGAATAATCCTCTAGATCACAGCTTACTAAACCTAGATATCAGATATTAACAGTGGTCAAATGTCGTAAGTTGCTAACGTAATAACTACCGTGGATAACCACCATGCCAGCGAGCTAAACCTAAGCTAGCTAAATGGCTAACAATAACGATAACTAAAAACAAGCTAGCTTTTAGCATTAGAATAATTATGATCGTTCCAGTCTTTCGCAGTAACTTTTAACTAGCCAAGTGAGCCTGATAATTTCGTGTTGAACAGATGTCCAACCAAACTATTGCTGTGACCTTACCTGGTGTTCAGAAAGAACCAGACTCATCTTTGTCCGTTGCTAGATTACGCTCTTTTGGAAAACAAACCAATAAAGACAACGCTTCATCGATTCTCAACAACCAGAGACGTCGCCGATAAGTTAATATATGCGTAGCAAAGGCTATTTTAGAGTTTTAAAGCACACTGGCAAAGCATTTAGCCGAAATATTCCTCTTCCTCCCGCCTGTTCCATACAAAACGAATTGAAATTTTGATCTTTCGCGCGCCGTGACAGCTGACCAAGCAGTTTTGTCCGCCATCGAGCTGTCAATCGCCCTGTTCACAGCTTCCCATAGGTCCGTTTGGACCATTGGTAACCGCCCATTATGACGACTTAGCTCTATGGAAGCATGTTTTATATACCAGGAATGCATAGCCGGGCGGGGCAGATTTAAAATTTTGTATTATTATTATTATTTTTTACTTTGCTTTGTGGGGTTGCCGAAAGGAAGGATTAAAGAAAGAAAGATGTTAATCATTTGCCACATCTTACGATGCTAAATTTATTGCATGAAAGTTTTATTGAGTCTTCCTAAGAAATTACCTGGTTTTCAACTGGTGTATCTTTGTATAATAAATCGTCCCTGAGATATCTTAAAAGGTTATGTGGGAATAAACATTGTGGTTACGCAGATATAAGTACTTGCATGAAATTAAATACTTGAAATGATAATTCTCTCTAGCCCTATATGTGCATTTCAAGATTAAAGTAACATTTAAAGGTGTCTTTATGTTTTGCCCTCCCTAGCTACATATATGAAAAGGTCAGCGCTTCTTTGAATATAATATAGTCCAGTACAACGCCACCTTTGACTTTTACTGCAATAATAAAAAACACATACTTAAGTTTACATTTATGACAACTTTACCAAAAACTGAAACATTTTGAGCTTCATAAACACAGATATTAAGGCAAAAATATTGCACTGAATTGACTGAAGTGGTACAGGTGTACATAATAAAGTGGCTGGTAAATAGGCTGCTACTTTTAATTAACTAAAGAAATTAATATTCTTACAGTAAGTAAAGTACAAGTTGCCTACTTCATAATTGTACAGTATTGTACTTGCAGAACCTGAGTAAATACTTCCTTCCCACAAATGTATATATCTATGACATTATTATTTCACCTGGTTTTAATGTATTTCGTTGTTTTGTCATTCATGATGACTACTCATTATAGATTTTGATGTATATATTGGTCTTCACTCACAGTGCGGCACAGCAAATTACGCATGCGCACAGCGAGCTCCACGTCTAACCGGCGCATGCGCTCTTTCAAACCCTCAGAACCAGCAAACAACGGCAGTAGCTCAGGTCAGTCGGTCCAGTCAGTAGGCATCCACGCGTCTATCTATATTCCCTTTTCTTAAATTAGTCACTTTAAGCTTCGCGATACCGCCCCCAATTTCAGTGTCGGTACGGAGCCGCCAGGCCGGGACAGAGACGGAGAGAGAGGCCTCGGCCATGGAAGCGCTCGGACCCGGTAAGAAATTTAAGTGAATTGAAAAAGGAGCGAAGATCAGGAAGAGCGAGCCGTGTGTGGGGTGCGTGTGCGCAAATGCGTAGCTTCACTGGGGGCCGCGGCTGCAGCGAGGCCTTGACGCGCTGACGGAAAACAAACCGAGGCCCAGCCCGTTTGTCTAAGTATATGGGTGTGTGACTCCATTTACATCGAACAAGAGACACGTGTGTTGTGTGTACTGAAGGTGCTGGCGTTTTTATCGGTTATTCATTCATGTCTGTGGGGTTTTATTTATCTGAAGCACGTACAGCTCGTCGTGTCGGGGCTTGCATTGTGTGAGTGGGGATTTAACTAGGACCTTCCTTCCTTCCTTCCGCGTCGTAGTGTGTTTACGTTACTGTTAGTTCACGGTGCGTTTCTTTTTGGTCGCCTAACTACGACCCTATTTCTGCAAGGAAACCACACAAGTTGTCGAAATTTATCAAAATATCCCACATGTATTAGCCTCCGTTGTCTGCATTTAAATTTGCACCATCGCCATCAGGAACAGCGCGACTCTTTGGGCTGCCCCCGTCCAACATGACAGCGATGGGTGGAAAAAAACAAAATGAGTGCCAATAAAACACACGTTACGGCGTTAAATAGGCAGACTTACTTGTATTGCGACTCCTTTTTACTGATTTTATGAGAGGCTGTCGTTGGTTTACGCGCCTCCTTGGGCAGCAGCCATGCGCCTGCGAGAACACAACAGAGATGAATGGCGCTTTTATCGATCATATCTGCAGGCCAGCTACATATTAATCTCCTATATGATAACAAAGCCATTGACTTAGCAGCGGTGCAATGATATTACGATAGAGCATGCAGAGGAAAAAGAGCCACACACCTGTAGCCCCAGCGATACAATATGTTTTTAATGTCACAACATGCAAAATATGTTTACCTCACGTTGTCCCTCAGAGGCAAACAGTTTTTTTTTTTCTGAGTGGATTTTGATTGATGAGGAATTGAGTGCATCTTGTACAACCGATCATGAGTTTTGCGACAGTGAAATGTGAATTTTGCTGACTGCATGTCCACGCATCGCCCACTGGCTCTCAAAAGAAGGTGGTGGCGTTGGGAAAACGTAGATGAACTATTTAAGGAGGACACAGGCATTGTAGCAGGATTCAGTTGAATGTTAAACATATGCATGTACTTGGTGATGGGCCAGAGAAATGTTTGGAAACAAACAAGCATCCACAGGTGTGTGTGTGTGTGAGTCCATTGTCCCACATAATTGGGTAACAGCAGCTACTACCTTGCACAGTGCAAGTGGTATTTTAGGCTTTCCACCGGCCAGCTACATTTAAGGGGTTGCTGGTATTTAATGAACGTTTTTACATTGCAAAGTGGAGAATTGAGGCTGTGACAGTTGTATTTGATCATCAGGATACAGCAATAGTGGTTTTGTTTCCAGTACCAATGCCACACCTTTTAATCTTGTATTGTTTTTTGTTTTTTTGCAAGGATGCATCTTTTTAAGTCTTAGTAAAAAAATAATGTTCAAAACAAGTTGAGTTTCTTAAGAGTGCTAAACTTAAAGAAGGTAAAATAGCCTTTGTTATTTATTCTAACAAAGCAGATCACAATATATCAAACAGATCTGCAGTCAGCAAGATCATACTGGAAAGATGCTAGATGGGGTGGCAGTGGCTCAGGAGGTAGAGTGGGTTGTTTTCTAACCGGAAGGTTGGCGGTTCGGTTCCTGGCTTCTCCAGTTCACATGTTGAAATGTCTATAAGCAAAACACTGAACACCCAGTTGCTCCCAGTGATATCACCAGTGTGGGAGTGTGAATGGGTGAATGAACAAATAGTGTGAAAGTGCTTTGAGGGTGCATGCAATGCATTGAAAAGCGCTAAAAGTATAAAACCATTTGCTTTAAAAATCTGAGATTAACTATTACCAGTAATATTTAACCCTGCACAACAGACAAAAGTCTGCTGTTAAATGTCACTCAACATGTTTTTGTTGCTCTAGTTGAATTAGGAAATTGGATGATGGGGAGGTTGCATAACAGCTGGATGTGCTCTCATGCTGTCAACAATAGAGCACCCTCTGATTCAGGTGTAGGGGATTTCTTTAGAAACACACATTGTTCATGGAATCCTTTAGGCAGGCACCTCAAAAGGCCTGTTTATTGAAGTAATGTCGGCTTGGGTGTCTTCACCAGGCAGCTGGTTTAATTGTTTTCAATGTGAGCTACCGCTGTTGAAGTGGTATTAGATGTTGGCACAAACTCATGGATTGTCACAGGACTGTGATTAGAGACGTGCAGAAAATATTTTGCTCTCAGTGGGCTGAGTTGCGGGAAAGATGAGTCTGCTCAAGTTGAAAATGTTTCAGCCTGAGCAAGAAATTCATGATTATCTCAATGTATGACTCACTTGTTCATACAAAGTTGGGGGCAAAGAGGCAAGCCTGGAGGAAAATAAATGAAGCAACTACAATTCCAGGTAAAATGAGTGATTTGATATTTTGAGAATGATCCGTCACACGTGCTAGTTCAGCAAACAGCTGTACATACAACCATTGGTCATCATTTCCAGTTGTTAGTAAGTCCTCCTCCTTCCTTTTCTACAGTCCAGTGTAGTCCTTTAATCCAGGTGACTTGCAGGTGTGGGCGTCAGCATGCTCCCTGCTCAGTGTGGTTAGTCTGTGACTCATCGGCAGGCCACGCCGTCATCCTCATGGTTAACTTAAGCCTCGCTGTCACTCTCTGATGGATCATGCTTTTGGTACCAGAGACACACATACCGCTGGCAGGCTCTACAGTGTGTGGTTGGTGCATCCCGCACAGCAAATGTGAATACACCGTGCACAGCTAAATGGTTTTTCAAACATCATTGAAGAGAACAATCTGTGTAGTAAGAGATGCGGGTGATAATCCTTTTACCGTGTTGTTGCTTCTTGAATGCGTCAGTGGCCAATTTGGATCCAAAGTTAAAAGACGCACACAGACTACATAAGGAGCAGAAGGACTTGATTGTCTTGAGCGGATCTGTCATTTTCTGCGCCAGGAAAAGCTAATTTCACTTCCTCTGTGACTCGGTGTTGATGCAGCTCTGTCTCACTTGGAGCAGAAGCATAAAATTACAGAGGAAACTTGCTTGACAGGTTGTTTAAATCAAGCCCTAAATGCCACCTTTGACAAGTCTGCAGAGTCTCTTTATGTGATATCTGGTCTTGGTGGTGATATCAAATCCTATGCTATTCTGTCAGAGGAAAAAAAAAAGGGTTCACAGACCTGTTTACATGATCAACTCTGTTTTTCAATAATGCATGATAATCCCGCTGAAGGGATGTGTGAAATACACAAGTGGCATGAAGGGAATCATGTGAAATAGGGCATCTTGTAGATGGTTATTATAATCTTCTGCACATTTGTATCTTTAAGTTATACTGTGTGATGTTGCTGTGTAGCCTAAGTGTTCCTGGACATTACTCCTGAAATGTCTGCATGCCTGTGCAGGTCCAGTCCTGGTTTGGCCTCTAAAATATCCTCATTGGCATGAATGAAGGCCAAGTCGTTTTTTTTTTCTGTCATCGTAGCAGCAGTGCAAAATACCAAAATGACCTAACATTTATCCAAAGATGACTCTTATTCCTTCCTTGCCTACAACATACCACTGCTTGTTTTTTTAGACGTCTTGATTTTGTTTTGATGTTACAACTCATTGAGTCACCAAAGGACGTAGTTGATAAGAAATTAATCTACAGCAGGCATGATAATTTGGTTTGTTTTATTGATTTCAATAATCAAATTAATTTCTTTTTTTTTTTTTTTAAACAATCACATACTTCCTAGTTGCAGTTTCTCAGTTGTGAGAATATGCTGCTTTTTTTTTTGTCTTGTGTGATGGTAAATGATGTGTGGACTTTGCATTGTTTTTTCTGATGCACTGAACATCAATCTGCTGTAGAGAAAATAATTTGTATCAAAAATGAATGTTTGCTAGACATAAAGCTCCCAGGTGTGGTGGCGCTACAGTGGAAAGTAAATGGATTTTAGAGGAAGGATGTGTTCGGACATTTCGCTTTGTGTGGTAGTGTGGCAGCTGAGGAGGCTGTATATGGGCATAACAATGTTTTTGCTGAAAGTGGAAGAGGAAAACCTCAAACTTGATGTTTATCTCTCTCTCACACACTGTAAACCCCTTTCTGTGGTATCTGCATATGTCCCCAGTGAGCAAAAAATAGAAACCTTTATTAGAGTATCATGCAGTCCAATGCAATGGATGACTGCTAATGAATGCTGTGACTGTGAATTAATGCAGTGGTTCCCAAATGGTAAATGGTCTTATACTTGGTACTTGGATACCAAACATGCCTTCTGTGTTGAGAGAAACATGGCCTATGAGCACAAGATCTGCACCAGAGACAGAAAGACATTGTGGGATTGTCTGATAAGGCGATGGAGGAAAGGTATATGCTAGCGGAGCTTATTGCAAAGTAGATGAAACCTCACACGATAGTGCAGATGCTCATCCTCCCCACTTGCCCCAAAAATTGCTAGGTCCAGATGCGCTCTCTTCAGTACCACCAAGGGTGTAAAAAATCTGCACGCACCAGTAGGCATGCGTCTCACTAGCTTGTAATTAGGAAACTGTGCTGCAATGCCATGTTTTAATGCTGATTCAAATGCAAGTTCAAGTTAAAATGTTTTGTCTTCAACTCGATGTCGACTAGTTTTCATTCTCGGTGCATCTCTTCTTACTTTACAATTTAGACTAAAGTTTATTATACTAACTTGGTGTATACTCTGATATGTATTTACTCTTAATCTGCAAAAATTTGATTTTATTTCCTGTGCATTTCTCTTCTTAGTTTGGTCTGTAAGGAGAAATTACATCTTGATGCTTCCCTCTCATATCTACCTGTCCTCTCTCATGACATTTTATTGCCATAAGTAAATGAAAATAAATTTTTATAGAGTGCCAGGGCTGATAACAAGTTAGCCTGGGTCTTTTCTATGGACATGAATACAGGTGTGCCTTGGGCACAAAACATTTGAAAACCATGGAATTGATAGATGTGTTGATTCATTTAATTATATCATAATGACTTGTTACACATTTCTGGAATTACTGATCAAGTATGATGTAATAATTCTAGGCTTCTTATCCATATGTTTGAGGGTGATTCAACTGCATTTTGTGAGATTTAAGGGGTTCAGAGTCCCAGGTAATTTATTTATTTTTGTCAAACTCAAAATACAGTGTCCCTCCAGTATGTATCAGCTACATGTGTTCATTATTTGAGATTGCATGAAAGAGGTCTGACTCAACTGTATGGCAGTTTGTGGTGGTTTTTTCACTGTACTGTATTCTTTTTCTCCACCCCCATCTACATACAACAGAGGACAAATGTTGCACAAACATGTTTTCTTGCATGTAAAGCTTTCCACGCATACACCAACACAAAGCTACAAAATAGAAAAATTAATGCTCCTGGTTTAGGTGCACTGTAATTCAGTAGTAAAATGTAGTGTCCTCGTTCTACATAATACAGAGTAATGCCAGTTTGCAGCATAATGTAGAACACTTGGAACGCCTGTTGTTGCCACCAGTAACAAGGCCAGTAGGACAAAGTAGAGTGAATCATCAGAATATTTTAATCCAAGTTGTGACAAAGAACAGCAGACATGAACAAGCAGCCTTTTATTTGAAACTGTAATGTAAACATTTAGAAAAGCTGAATGATGTTACAGTCAAGCTGATGGTTGGTTTGTTTTGACGAGGAGGGTGGGGAGTTGGGACCAGGGGTGTGATTTGGGGCCCAGGCAGCATGAGGGCATGGGGAGGGCCCTGATTGTCTGTCTGAGCTCTTGCGCTTCACTTGCTGACTAGACCGTGTGGGTGAATGAAGTTCAGGAGAACCCCCCCCCTCGTCCCCTTAGCTGTTTTCCTTGCATTCCTACAATGTACTGTATGCGTTTGTTCTTTCAGCATTTTGCAGACGACCTCGTACATGGTGATCCACGGCTTGACCGCAGGCATCATTGGGCCTTCCATGTTGTAAATGAGTTGTCCCGACATGTGGTATACGAAGTACTCTGTGTAACGGTAATCCCAGACTCGCGGCGTGGCACCCCTCCATATGGGCCTGCTGCTGTCTGTCTGAGAGGAGCTTGGTCTTTGTCTCAGCAGAAGGGGTGGGTGCCCTGTGTGTCTGGGTGGAGCTGAGGGCGGGCTGAATAATTGGAGGTCATTGTTTCTCCGGCCTCTTGTTGATTCATTGTAGTTCAGGGGTCACAGTTACGGGTCAATCAAATCATGCGTGTGTGGTTTTGTGTCTGTGAGGCCATTTCAGTGCATTCAACCAGGTATCACTGATGAGCTGGTCTGCAACAAGCTTGGCGTTGTGCCGCGCACATTTATCTTCATCACATTTGACATTTAATAGGAGAGACGAGCTCACACCATCTCAGCGTTGTCACATTAGTTCAAATTCATAATAAATACCAGCCATGCTTCATTTGAAACTTTTGATAATTAGCCTGTGCTGAGAGAAGGAAAGGGCTAATGTATGTTCTCGTCATCTAAAAGAGAGAGCTAAGTGGTGATATTCTGAGTTGGAATATCAGTAATGGCTCATTTGATCCCTGTGACACTGCTATTTAGTTTTCATATAAAGAATTAAGTACGTAACTGGAGCTGTGATATCGCATAGTAAGTATAACCGTTCCCTTTGTTCTCTCCAGGCCCGCCTGCCCCTACCTCTCTGTTTCAGCCTCCGCGGCGTCCTGGCCTCGGCACAGTGGGGAAACCCATCCGGCTCCTTGCCAACCACTTCCAGGTGCAGATTCCCAAGATTGATGTCTATCACTATGATATCGACATCAAGCCTGAGAAACGGCCTCGGAGGGTCAACAGGTAAAACAACAACAAGGTCTGAGCAGAAGATACACATGGGGGATGAGGTTTTGTCTTCAATATTGATCATTTTGAAAAGCACTTTTAATACATAGCTGTTGTAACCACAGACTGCACAAGGAGAAACTTGTCTCATAGGGGCAAGAAGGTTTAGATCAGGGGTGCCCAAAGGCCCGCGGGGACATTTCTTGGCCCCCCACAATTTATTATGCCACCCCAGTTGTCAGGTCAAGCAGCTCCCAGGTCAGCTCGCAACCCGCCAATAAAACGAGGAGAAGAAGAAGAAAAAGAACAACAACACGAAGAACGGAGCAGTAGCAAGCAACATGGAGAGCAGCACACAGACAAAAAGCATTTTAAACGAACCTGGGAGGAAGAATATTTTTTTACGGATATTAATTCTAAGGCGGTCTGCTTAATTTGCGGTCAGTCTGTCGCTGTGCTAAAAGAGTACAATATCCGCCGGCACTATGAAACGAGGCATGCAGCATTCTCAAGGTTCAAAGGCGAGGCACAGAAGACAAAGAGCCGAGAGTTGTTAGCTAAACTTCGCTCACAACAAAACACGCTCACACGACCCTCCTCAGCCCAGGAAAGCCCAACACAGGCCAGCTATGAGATCTCAGCTCTAATTGCCAGGAGTGGACGTTCATTTTCTACAGGGGACTTTGTTAAAGAATGCTTATCCACGGCTGCAAAGCTAGTGTGTCCCGCTCAGGCAAGAGCTTTCTCCCAGATCAGCCTCTCAGCTAATTATTACGGAGATGTTTGACCACATAAAGGCCTTTCAGAGAAAACTGCAGCTACTGTGTCGACATCTATCAGCAGGAGAGTTAATGCCTTGTACAAAATACAAAATTTTAATGGTAATGTGATCATGTGATGCGGAGGAACAGAACTGTCAGTTGTATGATATGTGGAATATGACATTACTAGTGAGTGAAAATTGCAATATTTATTGCATTGATAATTATTAATTACTTTTTACTTCTTTTCAGGAAACCTGGCTCACTTCCCCAGTCTGAGAGAGGTAAACCTGGTACAACAGAAACTGTCTGAATATGCAACACTTGTCAGCAACCTAGACCTGGAGTTTGAAATGCGCTTTCAGGACTTCAGGAAGAATTCAGGTGACATGGAGCTGTTTTCCCAACCCTTCAGCACAAGTGTGGACTGTGTCCCTGATCACATTCAGATGGAGCTGATTGAGTTTCAGTGCGATTCAGAGCTGAGGAATAAATTCATGTCACTGAAACTAAAGGACTTCTACACACATGTCTCACCAGAACGGTACCCAAACATTAGGAAGCATGCACAGGTGATGTTATCTTTGTTTGGCAGCACCTACATTTGTGAACAGACTTTCAGTGTAATGAACCTTAACAAAACCAGGCTCAGAAGCACTCTGACTGATCTACACCTGCAGGACGTTCTCACCCTCAGTTAGTCAGCTTCAGCCTGACATTGAGAGGCTGGTCAAAGCCAAAGACCAGCTTCATGTGTCTCACTAATAGTGTCAAACTGCTGCTGTTTGCTGTTAATGTGTACATGCATATGGACATAATTTGTGGATAAATAAAGATTAATTTGCTTGGTATTTGCTTCCTGTTCTTTGTACAAAGAGTGAAATGTTAAATACCTTTTATAATAAACACATTTCAATCAGAAAGTGCACCAGGAAACCCGGCCCTCAGCCCAGTAACGCATCTTCATTTTGGCCCTCCGAGGGGAAAAGTTTGGGCACCCCTGGTTTAGATATTAGTAAGTTGACAAATGAAGGCAAAAAGCATTTTGTTCTGTTGCCTTGAACCTGCACCATTTTTGCTTATATTGTCATCAGAAATATTGCTTCTATTAAGTTGCTTGTATGTTTGTGTTTGTGTCTCACATCCTGTCTCCATCTGCCTGCTAGGGAGGTGGTGGACACCATGGTGCGGCACTTCAAGATGCAGATCTTTGGAGACCGACAGCCTGGCTACGATGGGAAGAGGAACATGTACACAGCACATCCACTGCCAATAGGGAGAGACAGGGTTGGTATTTCAGTCACTTTACACTGGGTTCATAAACGCACACAGTATTTTTTTTGTCATATGAAAAAACTAGGAAACTGAGAAATACTAACAGTTTGCATGTATTTAAACTCATTAGTTCATATTTTAGGAAGGAGGTGGCAGGCATGTAAAATGGTTTAATAGATCAGAGAATTAAATGCTTTTTGTTTTTTTGGCTTCTTGTTTACACCTGTTGGTTCTTTGTGAGTGTGATAGTGAAATGTTTTATTGCTGACACATCCTTCGATCTGATCTGCTTCTGGGATTTTATTGCGTATCGCTCCCTGTCACCTGTTCTTCAGTCAGTTTCCTTCCACTCATCTTTTGTTTACCTTGCTCCGTTCCTCTCCCTCTGTCCATAAGTGAATCCCAATTCCCTTAATTGCATCCCTGTTTTCTCTTTCTCGTCTTTCCCTTGCATCTTAGTCCTGCCCATGTAAGATGCGAGAAAAAGACAGGAGGAGACAAGAATCAAGGAAACTCATTTTTAGAGACATGAGACTTCCTTTCCTCCAGTTCTTCATCTCAAGCATACAATCATCAGCTGGTTTTTGAGAAAGAGATGTCAGCCCATCATAGACTTCAGTGAATGATGCTCTTGTGTATCCTCACTGGTGCTCCTTGCTCTTCACTTCATGGAACAGGAATAAGAGCTTTAGGAAGCCCTTCAAGGTTGCAGACTGGAATGACTTCCAGATTGAGTGAGAATTGAAGAATGAAATACAATCAAATAAGGGAAATGGCATTAACCCCTTAGCTCCCTCTCTCTATCCACCCTTAGGTGGATTTGGAGGTGACCCTGCCTGGCGAGGGGAAGGATCAGACGTTCAAAGTGTCTTTGCAGTGGGTGTCTGTGGTCAGTCTTCAGATGCTGCTGGAAGCCCTGTCAGGTCACCTCAACGAGGTACCAGAGGACTCCGTGCAGGCTCTAGATGTCATCACACGGCATCTGCCTTCCATGAGGTATCGCCGTTCATCCATTTCTGCCTTTCTCACAAAACTTTTTCACTTTTAGGCTGTTTGTCCATTATATTTATAGAATATTTTATGAGCTGGGGCACTCCTAGAGATACAAAAACATTCAATCCAGTAGCTTCAGTTTATTTATACAACACAAAATAATCTTAATGCTGTGGCATCAGTGATAGGGAAACGAAATGTAAACTTGCGTCTTTGAGTGATGCTATGTCAGCTGAGAAGCCGTAGTCGTTTAGGCAGAACACCCATTTCACTTGAGTGTATCGGTGATTTATCTCCTGTGTTTGTGCACGTAGGTACACTCCAGTGGGGCGTTCATTTTTCTCCCCCCCAGAGGGCTATTACCATCCTCTTGGTGGAGGCAGAGAGGTGTGGTTTGGTTTCCATCAGTCTGTGCGTCCTGCCATGTGGAACATGATGCTCAACATTGATGGTAAGACATGAGCAGAGCTGATTTGTTTCAGCTGTTATTTAAAATTTTCTCAGAGTACATTGATGTGAAAACCCCAACACAGCGATTTGTTATAACTGATTGGTCTATAGAGTGCCACGAGGATGAGGTTTTTTTTTTTGTAGGCCAACCTTGAAGTTAGCATCACCCTGGTTGGAGTGTGTGGAGTCATGTTCACGAAACAGCACACGTATAAGAGTCGCTTCTGGCTGGCTGATTGCAAAAATATTCTAAAAATGTTTAAGGCTGCATTCCTAGCATGGAAAACAGCCCTGGCTCTTTCACTGCAGTGAGGGTGCCAACACACAGGGCTCTGAGCGACCTGGCTCAGGTTTTGTAGTATCGGAACATCCTCCAGCCAGGTGCTGTGTTGGCTGGATAAAACACATGCAAGCACACATTCATAGTGGACTACATTGTAACATTAGTGCCATATATCTGTTTATTTTGTGATTGTTGCATTGAAAGAGAAATGATTCTCTGTAATATTACAGAGTGCTGTACATTGTGTCTCTGATGAGCCTTTCAATTAAAAGATATCTTCCTCCAACTGGGTGTTTGTAATCGTGCCTCCTGTAGCTGATGTAACACCAGTCCCATTTCAGTATTTCAACACAGGACTGTTTTGTCAGGGTTAATTGACATGTCCACCCAAGTTAGACTGAATTACTAATTGTGACAGGGACTTGCTGTTTCCTTGTCATATAGTTTACAGTATAAATACAGGTCCTGCTGCGTTAACCTTAGTTTTTTTTTTTTTTTTACATTGGATGTTTAGTTGTATCCACTCAGTTATATTGAGAAAACCAAGTTATTCTTTGGGAAAGATGTTATCGGTTTGTGTCTGATTCATTATGCATCTACTCCACAATTCTGCAGTCTTGGACAGACTCTCATTGTGATAGAATCAGTTTGCTTGCTAACAGTGTTAATTTATGGCACTGCTGATGAATAACGTAGTATCTGTTTTACCCCACAGTGTCAGCCACTGCTTTCTACCGTGCTCAGCCTGTGATAGAGTTCATGTGTGAGGTGCTTGATATACAGAACATCAACGAACAGACCAAACCACTGACTGACTCTCAGCGCGTCAAATTCACCAAGGAAATAAGAGGTGAGCACTCCTGACTAATACACACACAATGTACTGACGTTCACCAGGAATCATGAGAATTTACACGAGATGAGAATGACATCCTTCTCACACTGTACACACCATGTATGATTCACTGTGTATCCACTTCACCTCAGAGATTACACATTGGTGTCAACCTGCAAGGCACAGTCATGTTCATTTCTATGCATTGTGTACGTACTTAAGAAACTACACATAATCATGTTGTATATGTGCCACAGATGCACACTGCCTAGTGCACATCAATGCTGGACACTTGCTCTTAACCTTATATGGATAAAGAATCATGTTTCTGCTTTTGAACGGAAACTAGCAAATGTGTTTGTGATAGCAAGTATTCAACACATTTCTTGAATAAAAGGTTTGTATTCATCACTCGTTGAATGTTTTAATGGAGAAGAAACTGCTGTTTCATCAGCTCTGTTTGCACTTGTTATTGTTACTTCACAATTAGCCACTAAATTACTTGGCAGGAGCTAATGACATTTTTTCAGATTGGATCAATCTGTGAACCAGAATATGTGGGACTTCATCTGCATGTTTTCTAAGGCAAATACTTGTAGGCATTCTCCTTTTGGTTTGTCTACTGGACTGTGAAAAGAAACTGGGGCTATAAAAATTCTCTGGCTCCCCTGTCAGTATTTATCTTTATCATAGCCTTAAAACACCAACAGAGGAACAGAAGAGTACAGTTTCTACCAGCTGAATTTAAACATCAAAATATTTGACATTGGAGTTGAGAAGGGTTCTGCTTATTTTCATTCATTTGTAACTGCTTTCTTGTGTGGTTTGAACAGGCTTGAAAGTTGAGGTGACACACTGTGGACAGATGAAGAGGAAGTATCGTGTGTGCAATGTCACGCGTCGACCTGCCAGCCACCAAACGTAAGCGCCCTTTCTCCCTTCATCAGTAGCTCAGTAATATTGTTTGTTTAATGTAACGTTCTAAAAAGTCATAACACTTCGAGGTCTTACCACCTCATAAATATGCAGTCAGTGCAACTTTGGCCATGCGTTGCTTTTGCATTTCACTTGTATATACACTGTGGTCTTGGCCCACATTTTCCATTTATTTACAGGTTCCCCTTACAGCTTGAGAATGGCCAAGCCATGGAGTGCACAGTAGCTCAGTATTTCAAGCAAAAGTACAACCTGCAGCTCAAGTATCCACATTTACCCTGTTTACAAGTAGGGCAGGAGCAGAAGCACACCTACCTTCCCCTGGAGGTGAGTTTTGACACATGGATTTATTTTAGGATTAGAATATAATGTTTCATCTCAAACTGGTGCTTTCTCCTTTTTTAGTTTCCAACTGTTGTGCCTCTTATCTGATTGTTATGATCAATTATGCTTCTTTGTACTCTGTAGGTCTGTAACATAGTGGCAGGCCAGCGCTGTATCAAAAAACTGACTGACAACCAGACATCCACCATGATTAAAGCTACAGCTCGCTCTGCCCCCGACAGACAGGAAGAGATCAGCAGACTGGTGAGTGCCGCCTCCTGGGGTGGGAGGAAGGATAGCA